TCTCCCCTCCCCCAGCCCTTCCTACGGTTCGGCAGGCTAGGATGGAGAATGGGGTGAAGCACTCGAGCAGCTTACAGACCCTCAGGCACTGGTAGTGTGACCAGATAGCAAGTGTGAAAAATCGGGATGGGGTGAGGGGTAATAGGAGCCTATATAAAAAAAAGCCCCGAATATCAGGACTGTCCCTACAAAATTGGGACATCTGGTCGCACTGGGAACGGGGTGCACCCTCCTGGGAGGTACCATCCAGCAAGCTGACACTACTACATGCTGACTACGTGCTGCAGCAGGGTCCGCTGAGCAGACAGGCTGTATGGAGCCTCCAGGAGCGGGGGGACTTGTGGGGGGGTCTTCCATTTTATGTTGGGACAGCTGGGGTGGGAGCGGTCAGATCTCCCCAGCCTTCGATGGACGCTTCTGACAACAGACCCTTCCCTTGTCCTTCCCGCGTGGCTCAGCTGCTCCTTTCACCCTGCTCCAGGGACATTTCGTTAATTGCATTCAATCCATTAGCCTAATGAAAGGCACTAAACAGCACTAAGTGATGGCTCTGTAGCGTGACTCCGGCTTGCACTCATTTTTGCCTGAATTCTGCCCAGATACAGTCAGCTGTGCCTTAAAGCTGTCCAAGGGCATTAATCAGCTATGTCATTCCTAGTGTAAGCTACAAAATGTGGGGGTGGGGGGTAATTTAACAAACTGCCAAGCCACCGTATCAGCCAGATCCATCCCTGCCCGTCAGGATGGGTTAGGGGGAGCATCTGAACTACACTGACTCCCTGGAGCCATGGATTCAGATCTCAGCATGGATGGCTCAGCCCTTCACACTGCAATGATCAGTCACCTTTCAAGCAAGGCATGTGGGTGTTTACAATGACACCATAAAACCCAACATTGCTGCCTATCCCACATGGACGTTACAGATCTAAGATCTGGGTCTTGCCCCAGTGTCCTCAGCTAAAGTTTCGCACACACACACACACTGTTGTACTCTGCATTGCATGCCACTGGACTGCTGTCTTCTACCCCAGAGGTGGCTGCATTTCAGGAGCGATCTGGTTCTTGCACATACCGTGTTTAAAGAGCTTCCCCAAGGTGCTATGTTAACGTCGGACGTTATGATGAGATTCGGATGATACTCAGCACTGACAGATCATGTTTAATCCTCAGGGTGTTTTAAAAACATCAGCCAATCACACACACACTTATGCCCAACAGACCCTTAGCTCTCGTGCAAGGCGTGGCTATGATGAGACACAGCTTATTATAACGGCTTGGGGTTTTTTCCCCCTCATGTGGGAAGCAAAGCAAATGGACTAAACCATAGCAACGATGGCTCCCACAATTACCGCAGCTCAGGGCATCCCAAACTGATCACGTGGTCTTGTGGCTTTCTGTTTAAGTCAGTGGTTGTAGCTCCCTGAGCTGTACTATGGCTAACAGAGGGCCAATTACATGCAAGAACTGGGGGCGGGGAGGAAAGGAAGTAAGAGAACAGCTGGAGCATGATCTGAGACAAAGGAAAAGTGGCCTTCTGAGATGATCCAAGTGGAAGCTGGACTGCAGCTCGCTGAATTATAAACTTGTTATGCGGTGGAACAAGCCAAGTGGTGCCCTCATTTGCCATACCTTCAAAGCTGATACAGTAGTTCCGCTCTTCAGTGACAGGCTGTTCTGGCTGCGAGCCCTCTTTCCCTGCAATGGCCAGGCTGACGCACCCCGCCCAGGGGTTCCCAGCAGGCTGCCCTGCTCAACCGGATACGCGTATAACAGGCCTTGTGCTCCAGACCTGCATTCCCTGACATCTCTGCTGTGCCGGGAAGGGGAAGGGGCGCGGTCTCTCACAAAATGATACAGCTGCTTAGGACCACAAGTACCTGTCAGCTCTGAGTGTCTGTCTGCACTTCTGCCATCTCTGTAGGACGCAGTTTAAAAACCCTGCAGTGATGATTATAGCAGGAATGGGTGCCAGGAGACTGAGATCTGAACTTGCGGTTTCCTGTGCGGATTCTCCAGCAGATTGCTACGAGACACACCTGTCCTGGGAGGGATCAGTGGACATTTCGGCTCCAAGGAGAGTTCAGTAGGTATCCCTCTCCCCTCACTTGAGCAGCTCTAGGAACAGTGCTAGTAAGACACCAGGACCAGCCAGAGCGCTGCTGATATACGCCTGGTATTTCAGAGAGACAGGCCAGCAGTGTGACGCTCTCCACAGCTCGGGTCAGACCAAACTGTGCAGTTGTTCTGCCCGGCTGTAACTGGGTCATCTCCTCCTTGCTGGGGCTTCTCAGCCATCAGGCCCAGTGCTGGTCTGATGGCTTCTGTTGAGTACAAAGTTGGTGGCTTTTGCAAATCAAATAAGATGCACCGAGTCTGCTGCCCCCAACGCATCAGTGTTCCCATTAACGCTGATCAGCAAACCAGGAGAGAGAGCACTGAAACGGCAGCCTGAACATGGTAACAAATGGACATTAGTGATTAACAAGCTCATAAAGCCTTCACTAGACTTAAGGAAAGAACAAGACACAGCAAAACCTATTTCAGCCCATTACTTAGATACTTTTAAGGACATTAACGAAGCAAATATAAGAAATAAAACTCCTCCAGGACAGGCAAAGGGGCGGGGAATCTCTCTCGGGCCCCAGGAGAAGCCCCCAAGCTGGGGAGATCAGGAGAACTGGAAGGAACACAACACTGCAGTGGCGTAAGAGTCGTGGCAAGCCCAGGCCCCCTTGGACTGTGGGAGGTACACAGGTGCCAGAACATAGGAGCGGAGACAGACACTCGCATGCTGTAGAATCCAAGCTTTTGTTTCAGAAAACATTTCTAGCCCTCATGGTTGTGAAAGCCAACGTTGAAGTGTGAACTGAGCCGAACCTCTGCAGAGCTACCCTGCGAGTCTACAAGACACAGCCTGGAACGAGAGCTCAGAGCTGGAGCGACCCAGTCCCCAAATTAACCTGTGCGCGTTGACTCTAAACTTTAATGATTGTGCTTTAAATGTCAGCATTAAACATTTCCTGGCGGATCGTTTGAGCAGACTGGATGCAGAAGGGGGTGACAATTTGGAGCTGCAGCAGGAAATAAAGGAAGGGGAGAGAGAAATGCAGAGAAAGAAGAGAAACTAAAGGCAGAAATTACAGCAGATCCAACAACGAGCCAACTTCCCTACTGAATGATGTTGAGTGCACAAAGTACAGAACAACCACCCAATGATTACTGGGAGTTCAGTTACTACATACAAGTCAGATTCTACCCTTGATGTCTGCCCAGCCCCCACCTGCCATGGGAGACAGCTGCAAATTGAAGGATGTGTGTAGTCCTAGATATATACCCCAGCTCATGGACTCCAATTAAGAGTGGAATTTGCCCCTCTTCCCCAAATGAGTTTGACATTCTGGCTTTTACGCAAGCATCTGGTGCAGTAAATTGCACAGTAGAGGCCATGAACCGCGCTCCTCAGTGTTCAGGGCCTCTCACCATGGTGATGTTTCCACCTCCCGTGTAGTTCACCAAGGCTTGGAATTGTTTTGCTTTTTCTTGATGCTTTCACTGCTTTAGGGGAAAGCTAAACTTTGATCAAAAGAACTTACACCATCTTTCTGCTTCCTAATCGTCTCCCTCAAACTTCCCGAAGCATCAGAACTGATTTCATTAGCTGACTGCTGCTAGAGGTTTTATTTAAAGCACAGCGTATGAAGAAGAAAGAATTCAGCGTGACCTTCCTGATCTGCTGCTAACAGCGAAAAGCGCCCTTCCTTTTTCAGACTCACAGACAAACCCAAGCACAGCGCAGACGCCTCCCCCATCCGAGCCCCCCCCCCCTTTTTTTTTTTGGATCAGACGATGTACAGTCAGTGAATGGAGAGACAGAGCATGAAACATCACAGAACACGCCTCTGAGCACGGGGCTCTCAGTGGCAGAGCAACGCGTGGAAATCGAGTCGAGTGAATTAGATGCTGCAGAAGCTGTAGATTAATGCGAGCAAGGAGAGAGTGAACTGTACAAACACCCACTGGGGGCCTTTGGGTGCTGCCCATTATGATGACATATACTAAAGGACAGCTGAGAGGGGGTGAGCCTCAGGCCCCAGGGCAAAGCATCCCAGGAGGAGAGAGAGAGGGAGGATGTGAAGTACGGGGCTAGGGGTCAGGGCCTTTTACAGATGAAGACGTGGGTTCATATCCTGAGGGAGTCGCAAGTGAAGAGGGGGTCAGTAGGTCCCATGGCAGTCCAGCATGACCCAGGTCTCTGCTCTGACAGGCCCAGCGCCGGATACCAGTGCACCGGCACCTGGCAAGTGCCTCGTCCCTCACTGCTCCTTCTCTTAGCAGTGCTTCAAAAGAGCCTGAATATTTTCTCTCAGAAAATAGGCCACCCGTTCCCTTCCTTCCTGAGGCGGTAAGCATCGCCCTGCCCTCGGGCAGCCCCATTTCCACACGTATGCAATTCAGGCTGGACAGGAGGAGGAGAAATCAGACTAAATTACAGGGGGAAAGCCCCTAACAATCAGCCCTCCCTACGAAAACCTTCCTGTTTAAAAACCTACTGCAGAATAGCTGTTCAGGGCATTGTGAATTAAATTACCCTGGAAAATCTCTACCAACTGCAGCATATGTTCTAAAGAGCCCAAGAGCGGCTCAAATTAAGCTGCATTCAGCATTTCTCTAATTAGCAGGTGGAGCCATTGCCAAGATCCCAGGGCGCATTTCCAAATACCAGAGCTACCGAGAGCCACTCAGCACACCTGCCAGCGTGACCCCACCTGCTCTCCTTTCCGCACGGACCAGGCTGCGTGACCCGCAGGCAGTCCTGGCAAGGCCAGCCTGGCCCCTTCCCTGGGTGCAGCGTGGTGCCGGGCTGCTACCACCACTCGAGCAGAGAGGGGGAAGCCTGGACGTTAACGCTCCAGCTGACACCGCTCAGGGCAATGTGCTTGCAGGAATCACTCAACGCCATGCTGCAGCAAGGAACAAGGGCCGTCAGGTGTGCAGCTTACCTGCTCCTCCGAGAGCTGGGATATGTGATTCACTGCAGCGTAAGACTCGATCTTTGGGTTGAAGTGATTGATGATGGCTCTGAAAGAGAAGGAGGAAGGCTGTTAGGAATAGATTCTGGGGGAGGCAGTTCTCCCTGACAATCTGAGCCAGTGCATGGCCGGAGGATGTCTTCGAAAGGCCCTCTCCCCTCACATGCCTACCACCACCCCCTACTGCTCAGCCTCCTCTGCCAAGCAGCGAAGCTAGCAGAATTGCCGTGCTGCCAGCCGCCTGGGGATTCTGTCAAACACTCATTGGGAAACAGCAAACACAGAGCCTGCCCTAAGCGTGGGTGCTTGGACCCAAGTGTTCAGCATGGAGTGCACGGGGCTGCGCGCCCAGCTGCCTGGGCAGGGAGTCATCACCACCCCAGGGCGCGCTGCAATTCACTCTGCACCTACTGGGCAGAAAACGAAGGTGGGGATCACACCCACGGCCTGCTCAGCGGGATCCCTCTCCCCAGCCAGTGAGGCACTTTCCAAGCCTGGGATCGCAGGACATCTTGTCCCACTCGTCTCCGTTATCTGCACTGCTGCTTCTACCTGCTTGTCTGCGAGGATCCCCACCTCCACTCTCACCTCCCTCTGCGCACTGGCCATTCTAGCCACAGCCTTGCACTCCCTCCCATCCCAAGACCTTAGGTCTGACTGGGCCCTCCCCTGGGAGGCAATGACATTAACCCGTGTCAGAGCCCAGCAGAGCAGCTGCGAGGCTGGTACCTCTCGTCTCATTCACTTCACCAGCAGAAGGTCCCAACCCCAGGCTCGCAGCAGGGGTAGGGGCTGGGCAATCCTCTATGCAATCTAAAGCTAAACACAGCAAGCCACGGCTGGAGATTTCCTCTTGACCTCCCATCGGGCTCTCCAAGGAGCCGCTGGCGGGACAAACGGTGAGACAAACGCTAGACCAACCGAGTCTCTGCCGTGAGACAGCCGGGATGGTGCCAGTCGCAACTGACACTTGGGCAACGCCCTGTGCCCCAGCGGAGCTCAGGAATGCTGCGGCTTAGAACGGAGGTTCCTGGGGCAAGCTTGCCCAGTCCCGTTATGCTGTGCCAGTAGTCAGGGCTTTCTGTCTCATGCAAATTGCAGGAGTTGGGGTTGGTCCTGCTTTGAGCAGGGGGTTGGACTAGCTGACCCCCTGAGGTCTCTTCCAACCCTAATCTTCTGTGAAATCAGCATGAAAATCCACTCAGTCTCCCACCCGCACGTTCTAATGGGGTCTCCGCCTCCCGTTCCCCTCCGCAGGCCCCAGAAGGGCTTTTAGCTGCTTTCTCACCTCCTAAGAGGTGGGGACTGAGCTCAGGGACTGCTGAGATACTCAGGTGCCAAGCAGAGGCAGTGAGGAGAGAGGCTGCCTGGGAGCATCTTTATCTGCTTAAATGTCAGACAAATAAACGAGACAGGCAGGAACCCAGAAAACAGGCCTGACTGTGCCATCTCCTTATGCCCGTCATGTTCCCAGTGACCCTGTGCCAGCTAACTGGCACGAGGTCTCCAGAACACCCGTGGGAGGCAATCAATGTGAAGACCAAGCCCACAGCTCTGATACACAGAGACCCTGCCACCACCCTCACTACGGTTTCCACTCCTCTACCAGATGACACCGGATAATGCAAGTGCGGGAGGTCTCCTGCCAGGCAGCTGGGCGCCCCTGCAGGGAGGAAGGCAGTCCAGAGGCTGGTGGCGAAGGACCCTATCTTTTCCCGTTTCACCTGCATGACAAGCATCAGAGAGTGAGAATCTCACCCTCCGGTAGCCAGGCCTCCTGAAAGCTGTGGCGTTCAAGCTGCCTGTTTCATGCCAGGCTGGAGTAACGTTTACACCCCTAACAGCGACACTACGGGAACAGAAGACAAGACGCACAACTCCTCCCACCAGGGTTGGCAGCTCAGTGGGACTCGGTGCACACACCTGGCTGCAGCATTTGTGAAGGAACAGACTGAGCAGCCATTTGTACCCACTGCTGTGAACACTTCACAATGGGCCGCTTGCTGGATCCCTGCTCAGCTCTGAGCTCGTGGAGTGGTACCTGCTATCCCAGCCACCGCTCACCCTGGGGAACTGGCTTCGGTTTGAAAAGCCTTTAAACAAAACACCCCCCGCACGGGCCAGAGGAAACGCTGGGGAGCGTGGGCATGCTCAGCAGGTTCATTTCTTTAACTAACAGCCCAGCGCTGTCCCACTTCCGTGAGGAAACCGTTCCCAGCATGCTTTGCTGCCTTCCTCGGGACAGAGGGGCGAAAACAGCCCAAGCTGAAATCCTGGCCCTGCCTTTCCGGGCTCTTCGCTAGGTCCCCAGCACCACGACACCCGTGGACACAGCACAGCTCCTCCTTGGCACTGAGAGAAGGATCCCTGCCCAGCCCAAGCTGCTCCATGGGAATAGACCCACGCTGCAGCTGATACTCTGCGCAGCGCATGGGAGCTGGGCTGCCTGGGGCCCCCAGTCCCGGCTTTGCCCCCATCCTCACAGCAGAGCAATACCAGGGCTCGGCAAGCCCCCCAGAAAGCCCTGCTGCACAGAGTTCCCTTCTCCATCCAAGGGGAGGTAACTCAGAAACCTCTCTGTGTTTTACCCCTCAAACCTTCTGCCATAGAGACATGACACTAGGGGCCGTCAGCTGCCCCGGCTCGCACCGGGATGCAGCTCAGAGCTGCAGTACGACTCCTTACTAGCTGGCATTTCACTTGGCAAAGCAGATACTCCTCAGGCTGCGGCAGCCAAGCTCCATCGGGAGAAGAGCAGCTCTGCACAAGCTCCCCTTATGGGCACAAAGCCACAATTCCTCTCTCTTTGTTTGAGTTGCCCCCACACAGCTCCCTGCTTTGGGGGCTGGGATAATTTTACCCAGTGGTAGCACTGATCACGGGGGTATCAGTCGGGACCGAGTACTTTGAGGTGCCCAGAGCTATCTAAAAGATCTCTGAGCGCGAGAGAGCTGCGTCCAGTATTCGTGAGGAGCTCATGAGCTCCTCGGCACAACTGAACAGTGAGTAAACTGCGAAGCTTTGACTGCAAGAGGGATCGTTTTGATCCCCAGTCCAGCCTCTGACGCTGTGCACGCTTAGCTATTCCGACACTGCACGCACCCGGGGAGGGTGGCGGGGGGTTGTTGCTATTTATCAGGCAGACTTTGGAGCAACCTGGGGACTGAGGAGATGCCTCTTCTCCGCCAGCACCACATGCCCTGTCTGATCTACAGTGCGGTGGCCGCTGTCTCCAGCTGGCAAGAGCAGAGGCTGTCACTGCTCGCAGGAGGGAAGAGGGTGAAATGAGGGCCCAACCATCCGAGAGTGGATCCCTGCTGCCCGTGTCTTTGGGTTAAGGCCGAATGCAGCGAGGGAGAATGCACCTCTGAACACCCAGAGGAGTGAGGAGTGAAGAAGGGCTCAGATTAAGCTGCAGTGATCTCCTCCTCCTTAGGAGAACCCTCGCACGCGGACTAGTCAAGTCCAGTATCACAGCTGCCTTGGATCTCATACCTACTTTGTGCAGCATTTCAAGCAGAGACAGGCACTCGGGCACCATGCGAGCACCCAGAAACCGACAGGCAAGTTCATGTTTCTTTCCGAGAGAAGGATCAGCAAACGGATACCATCTAAGCACCCTGTGCTGGAGAGCTTATTGACTGAGAGCAGAGGCCGGTGGGGGAGGTTTTCAGAAGTGACTTAGGAACCTAAGTCTCATTGAAAGCCAGTGGGACTTAGCCTCCTGAATCACTTGATGCTTCCGAAAACGTTAACCGAAATCTCTCCCCGTCTCAGTGTCTCATCGCTGCAGAATGTGTTTTCCGCTGTGTCCGGCCTGGGCCCATGGGGAGAACACAGACAGAGGCAATGGGTGCTGCAACAGGAAGAAACCTATAGCGAAATGCTGCACACAGCCTCCTGGCAGGAGTAAATGACTAAATACCATTGCAGGGTTTGTCACACTCATTGCATGCTGTCATCAAGGCATGCGAGAGCTGGCTGGGTTCCCTGACCACTATGCTGGCCGCAACAACCAGGGGACCTGGGTGCAAAATGGAGCGAAGTGAGGCAGCAAAAGGGGCAGTGATGCTGAAATGTGGCCAGGAATTGCATTGCTGATCACTGACTCGGGCGCTCTCCCTGCTCAGAAATTTAAGTATTTCCGAGGGGCTGGCAGGGGGCTATGGAAAGGAGCAGGAAGCCTGTGTGCAAGTCAGCAATACTGGCCTCCGTTCAGTCCATTTATCAAGCCCCTGTTGTTCCAAGACCAAGGCAGGTCAAATACCAGGCGTTGGGCAGAGCGGTAATCTGCAGCCAGAGCTGTTTCACGCACCAAAGCAGCATCACCAGCTCGTCTTTCTCTCTCTGACTGGCCAGGGTTCCAATCTACTCAGCATTCAGAGACTGTGAAATGCTCCTAGCATCACCTCCAACAGGGTGGGGTTGATCCCCTCACGCTGCACAGGTGTGATCCACGCCCACAACAGTTCTGTGAATGTTGGCACGAGTCTAGTGCATCGGGCATCATTGGCGGCACCTCTGGGCAGGCTGTGCACCGCATGACGCTTAGCATCAAAACCAGAACGTCAACCAAGCGCTATTTGCTATTTGTATAGCCGCAGCCCCCAGGAGTCCCCACCGGGGACCAGGCCCCTGGGCACCGTGTCAGATGCGGTACAAACATAGAGCATCTTGGTCCCTCCCCAAAGTCCAAGTAGCTCATCATCATCCTCGTTTCCCTTTGACCTTTGTTGGCATAACAGGCCAGTCTTGCTGCAGAATGCCTGTTCGTCAATTCCTGACAATCTCAGAGGTGGGGGGACATGACAGCATGTAGGATGCTAGCAGTGTCCGATCAGAGCGGGAAGTGCTGAGGAATGCGATACAGTCTGTTTTCTTTTATAATGATGGATATTATAACCTCGGTTTTTGTATAGAAAGGGAGGGTGTGAGGTCCAGTGGTTAGGGGCTCAGAATCAGAAGTCAGGAAACCTGGATTCTGTACACAGCTCTCCTACTGATTCAATCTCACCTTGGACATGTCACTCATGCCCCCGTGCCTCAGTT